GGGACTGCTTACAGGACACTGTCACCTTAAAGGACACCTCTTCAAACTGGGACTAAGTGATAGTCCCACTTGTGAGAGGTGTCAAGAAGAAAACGAAACAGCCACACATATCCTGTGCGAATGTGAGGCCTTAGCTTATTTAAGATTGCACCACTTGGGTCAGTACTTTATGGAACCAAGTGACTATTTCGATGCCCCCACGTACAAAATCCTGCGCTTCATTTGAAGCACAGGATTGCTGAGGAGATAATCAAAAGGGGAAGCACAGTAGATCACTGTAGGTCGCGGTGCAAGGGCTGAGAAGGGCCACCCCTTATACATTCATTCATTTATTATTATCCTTCAAAGGATTAGAATTTTATTCTCTTATATGACAAAATATCCTTTTTTATTATACTGCCAACCCATTTACATATGACAACTCCACGTTGAATGCCAGTATTATTTTTATGTAAGGCTCGCACATCTATGAGGATGAAAGAAATTTAGAGGATTTTCAGTGCAGATGTGCACACCAAGAGACACAAAATTCTGTGTGAACACACAGATATGTTCGTAACTCTCAAAAGATTAAATATGTAAAATGGTCATGATAAAATTATTCTTAAAGAAAATAATTTGAGAGGCACCCAGGAAAATATTAAAACAAATAATCCACATGTTTATAATGGAAAGAATTGTTCTGTGTGCATTATCTGCATCTTAAACTTAGGTGATGCTGTTGAATATATAAAATTCACTTACATCGGGAGTTAGTACACCAACTAAGTAAGGTGTAACGATTCCAGTGAGTGCGCCAATACCATTTACAATGGCCATGAGTGTCCCTGCATAGTTTGGACTCAGATCAAGTGCATTAACCTTCATACCAGGATAGAAGGTGCCCATGAGTCCGGTGCCCAATGTAAGAAGCGCAACTACAGATGTTCTGTCACATCCAGCATATGATGCAGCAATGATACCAATGCCAGGCCCCACAGAAGCTGTAAGAAATGTTTCAGATATCACTTATCACTAAAATCCTTTTATCATCTTGTATTGACTACATATTTGTATTTCTTTGTTCCTATATTCTTTTTGCGTAGTACCTACTGCAGTTTCAAGGAAAATCTTTGTAATGGTGCAATTTCTGGCATAGTTTCCTTGGTTTTTATGGGGAGAGAATCTTATGGTAGTATTATGCCCATCTCTTCCTACCAGAAATATATAAACATATACGAAGGTTTGACTTTTTGTATTCTGAAAATATATATTCCTCAGAAAAAGTGCTCCTTTAAAATGTTCAGACAAAATTAAATTACGAAATTGCTGTCATATTTTAGTTGCAGTTTACAGGTACGAATAGAATCAGCTGAAAATCACATTTTATCATTAGTGAAATATTACATATACTCGTAAATCTGTAATGGAAATAAGACATGTATACAAGTGCTGCATGAGGCTTTTGTGAACTGAGAAGTATATGTTAATTTTTAGTACACAGATAATATTGCATACATGGTTTCACTTAAGTCAGTGCACTTTTTTTTTTCTAGTTTAAACAGCAGTAGGGATTCAAAATATGTAGGTTGAGTTTATTACAGATTTTGGTTATACCATCAGTAACTGTTAAACAAGAGTAGAAATTAAAATAATTGGTTATTCATGAGATCAAAGCTTGATATGTTTTATGTACTACACAGTGTGTTAAAAAGGATTATAGGCTTTAAGAGGCTATAATGTTCACTTAAATCAGGGCTGCACCATAGCTCAAGTGGTTGGTTGCTGGCTTCCCACCGTGGCGGCCCAGGTTCGATCCCAGGTCTTGTCAAGTGGGATTTGTGGTGGACAAATAGGCGCTTGGGCAGGCTTTCTTTGAGTACTTCGCTTTCCCCTGCCAATCTTCATTTCACCAATTGCTCGGCAATCACCCTCACCTATCATCTGGGGCTGGTACAATAGGCCAGAAGTGGCCGCAGTACGTGGGACTTAGTCCACCCCACTAGCAATAAAAAAAATCACTTAAATGAGCAAAGGAGTCCCAGTCTACATATCTCCAGAAAACATTGCCTATTGAGCAATGGACGATGCTTATGTGATCTCTGCAGCAGATGCTGTATGTGGTTCCCATGCATTTTAACACAACTTTCAGCTCTTTGTTGCTCAGTGTGTTTACTCTGTTGAAAATTCCTGGTTCCACTCAAATCTTCTGATAGGCATGCTCTACTCATTGCTGCAATACATCCAAATTATTAATTTGTGCTGAATGAACCAAAGTCTTTAGGTGTCCCTACAGTTAAAAATCCAGAAGATTGTCAGGTGATCATGCAGGCCAGTATTGGTAAATCATTCATCAAAAACAATGGTACAGGGCACCTGTTATTCTGTTAGGCCAACAACTGGTCCCAAGAGTTGATCACCTAAGATGCCCCCCCAGGCATTGACTTGCCTATGTCTCAGCAAGCATTAATTTCTGGACATATATTGACAGGGACTTTCTTGCTCACTTAAGTATTATACCACCTTAAAGCCTGTAACCATTTTTAATTTATACCCTATGTGTGTTAGGTATCATATGCCTTATATATTTTTGTGTCATGCATATGGTCATTCAAGGGAAGACATGTTTTATGAAAAATAGAATTATATCAAAGTATTTTTGTTTTAAAATGTTTTAATTCTTTAGTGCACTGTTAAATAATTGAAAGTATGAATAACAAAAGTTTTTTAATTTTACATACCAATGGTGGTGAAGATTTTACGAGCCACTGTGGTTGATATATATCCCCATGTGATCAAATGATCGCACAGCCAACCAGATCCCATTGAACACAACCACATTACCACATATGGTAATGCAGTCAGAAATCCATTCTGTGAGACAAATTTATCTTTATTTTAGATATTCATATAAGAACTAACCCTTAAGAACGTATGTGTCTATGGATTTATATCCTTTCAAAACAGAATATCAATTATTTCCACTGGATTTATCCATTAACCACAGAATATTATGAAATTAAGTCTTTTCACCGCAGTATATATTTAAAAAAAGGGCTAATGAAGCCTGTTTCTCTCATAAGTTAACACATCTCCCACTATCATAATCCATGTATATATGTATGTTGTTATTCAGTAAGGGGAAATATATAATAATTATTTTCATTCATTCATTCATTCATTTATTCATCAATGGCTCTACAGCCCTTTATTGGGCCCTGGCCACTTCTTCAGTTTCATAATCATTTTAACAGATAGTAGGACTTTCTGGATGAGTGATCGGCCTGTCACAAGGCCGCTGCCTATATACAGGACAACATAAACACAGAATAAATGCACACACAGACACCCATGCATTGAGTGGTATTCGAATCCATGATCTCAGCGTTGGAGGNCTTAGGATTTATAGAATGTAAATAAATTCAATTCAATTCAATACAGGACAACATAAACACAGAATAAATGCACACACAGACAGCCATGCGTTAAGTGGTATTAGAATCCATGATCTCAGCGTTCGAGTGAGTAAAAACAGTTCATGCCTTAGACTGTGCGGTCATTGTGATTGTTGTAGTAATCATTACTGATACAAAGAACATTTTGGAAAGAGCAACAGGAATTTCAATTGAATAGAATGTAGGGAAATGCAAGTGTTATGTAAGTAGGAATTAATAAATATGATGAGGATTTATGCCAAAACAAAGTGGCTCAATGGTAATTAATTGGTTTAATTAGGGCAAAGGAATCATGATATACTCTGAATAAGAAGATTTTTACTGCTTTTCATTTAGTAACATGGTTTGATTCAGAGCTGTAAATTTTGATATATACTATGATGCAATTGTCTCTGCTTGCTTGGCTTACTCTTCGACCCTGAAGGTGGATGCAGTGTACTCCTCTGAAATGTCGGTGAACTTCTACCAGACTACATGACATCACATTCCTGAAGATAGTATTCTTCTGAATTATGCTGTTACCCTTGAGATATTCAGAAAAAGACATATCTAAAAGAAGATATATTTCAGTGGATATATTTCTTGGATCACTGTGGGATGTAATTATTTTTTATGAGTTAAAAACCCATTAGCTGTTAGTCCCAACAGAAGTTAGCCCTATGTTAAATCAATTTACTCACCTCAAATATATTGAATCTCATGACATCCTTGAAGTACTTTGGTAAGTCAGTCACTAAGGTAAAAAAGCCCCAGTCATGGCCTATCTGAGCGAAGATGAGACCCCAAAGAGGGACTGATTTAGCCATTTCTCGCCATGGAACAGGAGGAACATCCTGTAAAATATGAGAGTAAATAAGTGTTTCTTCATGTAGGCTATTCATTGTTTTAGTCTTATAGCCACATATTACAGGTTTTTTCTTTTCAAATTCAAGTGCCATTTCTGTGGAATGTGTGTTTAAAATTCCAGTGTTTCACCTACAGTAGACTCAATTATCTGAGGTAGATGTGAAATGAATTTCCTCAGATAATCAGTGAAAGGAACACATAACTACCTTGTGAACTGGGATTTATAAAATGACACATACATTTGTAAGTGTTGTACTTCAGCATCTAGCAGTACTGTTACTTTTGTACATATGTGTAACCACTGTACGAGGTGGTATCAGAAAGTTCCCGGACTGTTGTTCTAACTGCCTCAGTGAAAGATGATGAGAGGGGAGGCCAAGGTCACATTTCCACAAGCCTAATGCAACAGTTTGCCACGTGACACCGCAATGTGAACACGCATTGTTTTTACATGAGTGCTTTTTGGGCTTTGTGTTTCATTTTTTCTGTGATGGATGGCAAAATTGAGCATCATGTCTGCGTCAAGTTTTGCGTGAAGCTCAGTAAAACCACTACCGAAACCCTTGAAATGCTTCATGAGGCTTTTGGAGAACATTATTTAAGCTGGACAGCGGTTGTTGAATGACTTTCATGTTTCAAGGATGGTCGAGTGTCAGTTGAAGATGACAAATATTCAGGGTGACAAAGCACCAGAAAAACGACAGAAATTGCTGAAAAAATTCGAGAAGACCATCACTGAACAATCCATGAGCTTGTAGACATCATTGGGATCAGTTATGGAGTTCACCAGATGATCTTAACAGAAAATTTAAACAAATGCCCTGATAATTACTCTGAGCTTTTATATCCATGTGGTATCTTTTGTATGAAAGCTGGTCACAGATGACATATTTTTATTCATTAGACTACACTGTTTATTTATTTAATTTATATTCATTATTGTTCTTATATTCGTATTTATTAATGTAACTAGTTGCTAGTTTTGTTTTTCCTGAAGTCGTAACAACTGCATACATTTATGTTGCATAGTAAATTGTTTTCTTACTATATAACCCATACTGAATAAATATAATTTCTGTGGTACTGCATTGTCTTGTTGATTATTAATTATTTTGCCATTTCATTTCGAAGTCTGAAATTCATATATGATCAATACACTTACCTTTTTATTATCTATTCCTCCAATACTCTTTTCAAGAAATGTTTTCTCTTCATCAGAAATAAAAGGATGAGATTGTGGATCATTGTAACAGAGTAAGGTCCATGCAATGAACCATAATACACCCAATGCACCAAACAAGTAGAAAACACTCGGCCACCCGATAGATGAGTACTGTATCAAGACTCCGCTGAGAGCAGTACCAACTACCGTTCCTATCTGAGAACCTGGAGAGAGTTTAAGAGACAAGAATTTGTATCAAGCATGAAAACCTTTAGTTATGCAACACAGGTATCCTATGACTATTAAACAGAAACAAAGAGTGGCAACTGAGACTCACATTTAGTCCCATTCTATGCACAAAATACCTTACTCAGAAATATTGCCCTTTCTGATTTGTTTATTTGTTTGTAAGTTATTTAACAATGCTGTCAGTAGCTCAGGCTATGATAAGATGATCAGTAAATTATGAATTGTAAGGGTACTATCCTGTACAGATTGAGGAAAATCACAAAGAACCTGTCAGAGTAGCAAGTCTTCAGGCCAAGATTTGAATTTGGGACCAGTTTCTTGCTTGCTGATAAGTTTAGTTGACCAGTTTTGTGTAACTTTATTAGGAATTTGGTAAAATCAGTGAACCAAATCACTCATTCCATCTCCCAAGAGTTAATAGTATTTGTTGTTTCTGAAAAGTGTATATTTTTCATTCATCAGTAATTTGTCATATGACAGATCCACAGTCTCTTCCAAAACAGTTCCTCCACTTAATGTGCTCTAGAGCTTTCTCCTTCAAATAAAAATATCCTCTTCTGTCCCCAAGGTCATCCAGCATCATCTTACGTCTTTTTTGTCTTCTGGTCGCATACATGGTGTCTCTGCTTTTGGAAAGGGACTATCCAGGAAAATTGATAATGTGGTAGTTTTTCCATTTGCTTTCCACATCGCAGTACAACAGCCGTTCAAGCCACTCTGGTGACGCCTGTTGCTATACGAACTTGAACCATTTTGAGCATCATTTACTCTCTGCTTCTGGCATCAGCTTTTTGGTTTTTGGTGTCTCTGTTCATCTGATGCCTACCCTTTGACTTGTCCAGCAAAGGAGGCCCTGCCAGTAGCTACGCTACCGCTGGTATAGCTCTCAGGGTCCTTGGCATACTCAAAGGTTTATTTTACTAAATTATCAGTGTTATTATTAATTTAATGCTTCTTACTTTCCTTCTGTTGTTATATAAGACATAGTTATTTCTCTGTTGAACACTCAATTAAAATTTTTGTCCAATTTTTGGTGTTAAATCAACCTCAATCCAGAATATAATTACATTTATTTGATGAACACTTTATTGCCCTTACTTCTATATGTAAATATCTATTAATTTATACAATGTTTTATATTTTCTATAACATATTATTTATGTGCAACTAAATACCTAACTACCCAAGTCCATGGAACAGAGTCCTTGTGGAAAAGCTAATAATACCTCAGATAGTCAAGAAATTTCTCCTCTTTTATGAAACCCAAAGATTCATAACCATATTCACAAAAGTCAGCCACAGGACACTATCCTGAGTCAAATAAATCCAATCTGTATTTTCATACCATATTTCTCTGAGATCCATTTTAATACTATCCTCCCATCTGTCTTGAGAAAATGACATAATGTCATTTGATAAAGGAATAATTTAAACAGACAGTACTCTGAATATAAGAAACACATTCTTTTTTAATAACTTCAGATTCTTTGATAGACATTTCTAACTTTAATGTCTCCTGAATGATCCTTTCCCTTCACAACAAAGATATTTTGGGGGTAAATTATGGGGAGATGAGGTTGTTAAATTTATCATCTACAACAGCTTAGAAATATGNGTCATCTACAGCAGCTTAGAAATATCTGTCAAAGTATTTGAAGTGATTAGGCATGAATTTACTTCTTCCACTGAGATTACTGTCTGTTTAAGTTATGTCTTCATCATATAAGTCATTTTCTCATGATACACAAATTCAGCTAGTAAAATTTTGTTCTCACACACCAGAACTCACCAGCAAACACAAAAGATCCAAGGATTCCTCTCTGTTGGGGTGGCACCCAATGTGCTAATATGGCATTTATTGCTGGGAATGTTGATCCCTGTAATCACATCAAAATATTAAAATAACTTGCTCCATCTTGCTTGTGCTGTGTATAAGTGAAGAGAATAAGGAGAGAGGAAGATAACATTCATTAAAATTGATTAAAAAACTGCAAGTTAAAAGGATAAAGTTGTGAATTCTAAAGGGTGACAATGGCGTATTGCACTCATTAATCCCAAAGACAAAATTGTACCTAACACCACACCATGAAAGTAGACAGGGGAAGTAAAAAAAAAAAAACTTAATTCATTGGCAACTGATATAAATGAGTGGTCAGCTTCATAGCCTGCCTACTTTACTCATAGAAATAATTCCAGGTACCCAGCGGACACAGTGCTCAGGGGGCACCAGAGCTGATGGTAAAGAGATGTACCCCTGACTCTGACTGCATTCAAACTTTTGTCATCCAACCAACAGCTTACTGGCCAATTCTTCATTTAAGACGCTAAAAAAGATACACATATTATAAAAAGATAAAACAGTTCTGTCCAGTGTGACTGGTTTTCTTATTTCAATTCTTCATGCCCTTACATGTTTTGGTCCTTAGACAAGACAGCCGCTGTAGCTGTGAAAACTTTGGATCTTGTACCCATTTGTGTATTATCACTATTGTATGTATATATATGGTAAAGTCATTAAGTTCGCGGAATGTGGTTTTATCACATCATATTACAAGGTATTCACATACACTTACACAGCTCCATATCGGCCATCAAAATAGTCGCTGTTGGCCGCTATGCAAGTCTGCCAACGTTGATATAGCTGCCAAAAACATTGCTGAAACATAGTGGCAGGAAATTCCCATTTGGCATCTCTTGTGGCAATGGCGACCTCCTCGGACGACTGAAATCTACGACCATGTAGCTTTGCTTTCAAGCGGTGAAAGAGAAAGAAATCGCATGGTGCGAGATCAGGTGAGTATGGAGGGTGTGGCGAAACGGTGACCTGTTGCCTTGCCAGTTCGTCTTGGACAAGAACAGAGCGATGTGCAGGGGCGTTGTCGTGTAGCAACAGCCAATTCTTCCTAGGCCAAATGTTTCACTAGGGGATTTGCCTAGTTTCTGGCAGAACTTGATGTTTGCCTGTTGTTCAAACTGCCATGTTTTTGATTTCCGCCACTTGCATTTAACTGCAGTTCACAATAGAGGTCATAGTTCTACTTACACTGTTTGCACACAACTGCCTCTTGCTGTGACGAGAGATGAACTGACAGGGCATCATATCGTGCCTCAACCTATCTGCTGTAGTGCACTGCAGTGATGCTTTACGGCCATTCCACGAACTTATTGACTGTGGTAGTATGTCTAACACTCAAAACACCTATTGTAATAGTGGTTTCCAAACTGTATCAATGTCCGTCTGATGATGGTCTCTAAGGACCGAAACATGTAAGGGCATGAAGAATTGAAATAGGAAAACTAGTCACACTGGACGGAATTGTTTTAT